TCACAGAGGGGAGGAACATCAAAGTGTGAAAAATTCGAGAGGATGAACAGAAGAGTGATTCACGGGTGTAAAAGAGACAGACAGATACAAAGGCAGAGAAAAAGCAAAATGAGTACTGTGGAAGGGGTCAAGTATGACATACAGTGGGGTCATGGTAGTTTGAAGTGAGAAATCAACTGCCGGGTAATAGGCTTTTTTTGCCGTATGAGTATACGCTGCCCAGGGTGCACCACGTGGAGATAATTCTATCGTGCACCCTCTGTGTTGATAACGTCGTAGGAAGAAAGTTATGGCCTTTTCTGATGGTTTGACATTCTAGATTTAGTGTTAGTCAGCGTTTTACCAGCCGAAAGGTTAGAATTGGATTATATGACTTCATTCCAAGTATTTGTAAACCATTTCGGATTGCAAGAATTCAAGGTGGTTAGTAATGTTTATGAATAGAGAGGGACATAGAGTGCGCAATGCTGCCAAGGTTGAACAAAGGAATCCCATACACGTTCGATCATTCTAGAAGATGAAGCCATGCTACTGATTGGGAGTTAGTAGTTTGTGAGACCTCTCAGCTAAGAACCAATCAAAAGTTGGTGCTTTGATAGCGTTGCCCCAACTGCATTTTAATGACTAAGCTTGCATAAATCGTATTCATTACTTACACCTAGTCCCCTTGATGCTACTGAGGTAGATAATTTCAGGGGTCATTTTATAAAAGGTGGACTCTAACAGAAAACTTTGTTGCAATTTAGTCGGGGTTTATTTATGTACCGTTCGCTACAACTTAAATACAGTTGAACCCGCATTCGCATCGATTTTCTTGCACTTTGCCATATTGTTCCATCAATTCCACATCCAATTCAATGTAAGCAACTAGCAAGAGGAATCAAGCCATGCAACCTTATTAATGAATTGCCATTCATTTTAGTCATAGGAGATTTGACCAATTAAGCAGTACTTTTTCAGCACTTATGAACGTGTGCGAAAGATCTCTCCTCAGTAAATTCTATCGAAAAATTTTATTATTATATCACCCTATTCTCGTGTATTGAAAATGCGAGTACCCATTTTATCAGCAGTTCTTAAAGTACATCGCTTATTGGAATCACTCTTCTGTAGGAAAATTCAGAAATGACCAAATTTGTAGCTGTTTTTGTCATACTTATCTGTCTTCAGAAGCATTGTCACATGATATTTTGAATGCAGATAAGAACCAATCACAACAGAGCAAATTTTTAAATTCACTTCAAAGGTGTCAGACCAACGTGCTTGTATGGGAAATCTAGTATTCGACAGCTCGAAGCAAAGCAAAATTACAATTTCCAATTGCGAAAAAGGCCCTCAAAAACACGAGTTGAAGGTGGGGTAAATGAATCAACAGTAATTTGAGGATTCTTAACTCATTTAAATGTCTGATTTCATCCCGTTATCCATAACGTGCTCGTTAATATAGCTCCCAGAGTTAACTTTTTCTGAGCTTGACTCTTCTATTCTAGGTTAGTATTTCATTTCAACCGGACCTTAAACGACTTTCGACAGAGTGAAAAACACCAGGGGGACACTGAAACTGAACTTGAACCGAATTTTTCACACCACTTCCATTGATATCCAATTTTGATGTTTTGATACATAAAGCCATGGGAGTATTTATAGTAAAGATGATACAAGATATGAAATTAGATTTCCTATGAATCTGTATCATGTCAATATGGTCAAGATACCATAGTCACCGATACCTAATCAGATGTTAAACTTCCTTCAAGCGTATTCTTCATTTCGCTCTTCTTCTTGACACTACAGCTACGGAATACTTCATCGACATGCGTTCAAAAAACGGGTTCATTTACTCAGGCAAATATATCAAGGATATAAAAAAATAAAAAAGAGGATCATTATACAATTTGATAATCTTCTTTCTTTTCTAACTCCTTCGCCTCTTCCTTGGCTTTGGCTTTGCTACTGTGCGACTTGGAGTATGTGCTGAGGAGTACTCCTATTACTACCAAACCCCCAGACCAAATATATCTACAAGGGAAAAGCTGATTAAATTAAGAGTGTCAGCCAATCAGAGCATTCTGACTAATACGCACCATCCAATCAAAAATTGGAATTAAAAATTGTGCATGATATTAATCACAAAAATACCTTTAAAAGTAATACTACGGTAATATGTTTAAATCACGTTCTGAATTCCTTTTAAAGTTGAGTAAACAGTGAATCTCTATTCTGACCATTAATGAAAGAAATGTTGCATGACGATTTAAATTATACATAACATTTTTTTTCTAACGAGACAAATAAACCAAAATGAATTGATTAAAGGCTAGATTTAAGAAATTTAACACACGATGGGTATAAATTTCAGCAGAAATACGAGGTCAGGAGAATAATAATAATAATTCATTACATTTAGTCTTCAGACAAATTTGGCATCCTACGCAAATTGTCACAAAATATTAATAAGAGAGAAGGAGAGAAACCAAATTACCAGCAAAAATTGTTTCAATTACTGCAGATAATACTAAATCTCCACAAGATTAACAGAGGAAATTGATTAATGATCCTTTTAGCCTACCCGATAGGCTTAAGAATTCACTTTAATAACTTATAGCTCTGTCATAAGGCACATTCTTCTGCGAAATTACGAAATTCATTGCATATAAGCATTGTCGTATGGAAACATAAAAAATCTACTTGCAATCAAGGAGATAGCTACGAAGCATATTTTTTCACACTATAATATATATATATATATATAACTTAGTTTTGGAGCAAGATTAATAAAAAAATCGGAGTTTGACAATTTCCATGGGAGAAAGGATAGATTATTAATAGAACTAAATCAAAATGAGTTCTGAATATCAGTGGATCTTGGAGACATTTTTTCGATCTGTAGCAAAAGTTAAGCTTCAAGGAGAAAATGACTTATTATTCTCCAACTGTTGTAATCCATTTTTTTACAAATAAATAAATGTCAATACATCAAGATCGCTTTATGGCCTTTGAGTCAAAACCATTTATTTCAACAAGAATCATCTTTATAAACCCCTTTCGGTAAAAATATCGATTTAAAGAAAGCCGTATCAAAATAGATATTAATAGATTACAAAGTATGGCAGAAATATCTATCGACTTACAATACCACAGCGTCTAAATTTGAACCAACACAACAGCCTACTCATAATGCCAACACCTCAAATGACCAATTTAATACCTAATGACGTCAAAATGAGTCCACAAAATAGGAGGAGAAAGAAACTCACTCAACAGAGAAGGGCTTTTGAAAGAGTAGGAAGGAGAGAACGATAGTCACAGCCTTTCGCAGAGTTGTCACTGAAAAACAAAAAAGAGGAGAAAATAATTAGAAGCAAAAATGGCCACATTAGCACATTCTACCTCATGAGCACCGGGGGTGTGGGATAGACTTACCTCCTCGTGGTGCACCCTGGGCAACGTATAATCATACGGCAAAAAAGTCTATTAACTGGCAGTTGACTTCTCACTTCAAACTATCATCACACCACTGTATGTCATATTCAACCCCTACCAGAGTACTCATCTTACCCTTTCTGTGCTTTTGTGTTTGTCTGTTTCTTTTACATCTGTGAATCACTCTTCTATTCTCCCTCCCGAATTCTTCTCATTTTTATGTTCCTCCTCCCCTCTGTGAAGCCTGAAGTCAACTAAAGGGCTAATGATAACTATCAAAACGCCTGCCATTTGTTATAAATACCTCATGAGCACGGAGTGTGTAAATGAAATAAGCCCGGATTAACAAAAATTGGAAAAAATGCCACCAAATCCAATATGCATCAAATTTCGATTTTTTCTGCAACGATGTAGGTGGAGGTTTGTGTTGTGTGATATGTGCTAAATTTTCCTTCGTGTAGTGGAAAATGTGCAAGTTCCTGAGTTGGCTGACTAATGGAAGCTAGAAATCGATTTAAATTACTAAAATGAGGCGGGCCAAAGAGTCATTTCAAAATATATATATATATAGCACTCCAAGACCTTTGAAAGAAAGGGTTTCTGTCAGATATGCTCGTTCTCCATTAAACTAGCGTCAACTTCCCCTAATTGGGCAATCAAGTCATTGGATGTAGGTCAATGATGGGCGCTGAACCCATAATTCCTTAATGCAGTTGTGAATATTGATCGCTGTGCCACAGGTGCAAACAAGTAGGTTCAGCTAATATTTATTTATATCAAATGACAGGAGTCTTGATGGTTATCATTAGTCCTTAAGTTGACTTCAGGCTTCACAGAGAGGAGGAGGAGGAACATCGAAGTAAAAAAAATCGAGAGGGGAGGGGGAAGGGACAGAAGTGTTTCAAAGACAAAGGTAGAAAAAAGGAGAGGTGAGTACTGTGGAAGTAGTCGAATATGACATACAATGGGGTGAAGGTAGTTTGAAGTGAGAAGTCAACTGCCAGTTAATAGACTTTTTTGCCGTATGAATTTAAGTTGCCCAGGGTGCACCACGTGGAAGTAAATCTATCGCACACCCCGGTTCAGTAAATATCAATACGTAAAGAAACCTAATGATCGGAAATCCACACAAGGAAGCCGCTAGTAGAAGTTATCTGATATTTGGATGCTAATCTGCACGTGTACTACAATCATTTTGGCACATAGGAAGGAACTTTGGGAGGGCGTGATTGCATGATTGAGCTATAAGCATTGATTTAGTGATTGTGAAGAGACTCATTTTAGCAGTTTTTTACTCTTTATACCTCTCTCTCTCTCGAACAGATTGCCAACAAGACACTACTCGGTTAGCTCCCAGCACTCCCAAGGCAAATCCTCTCCATCAATTACCAAGATCCCAAAATTCCAAAGCCATCTCCGAACGGGGCACCAGAACTGACTCGATTAATTGGCAGTCCGAACCTCAACAGCTGATGTCTTTATTTTCATCCAGGCAACCGCATTCAAGTAAGACGAAAAATTCTCTTATGAATGGCGACTAGGAAATAGACAACTTTCACGCCACCCCCCCCTCCCACCCCCCCCACCACCACCCACTCACAAAACGGTAAGTTGACACAATCAAAGTTGAGTGGGAGGTGTTTTTTACACTCCCAAACTCCACAGCAGTGATAAACCGCATAGAGTGATGCAAGAACGGCTTAATTTATTGACTTCAGATGACGCGGTATCAGACACCTCATATTTAAGTTATGGGGTGTGCGATAGACTTACCTCCACGTGGTGCACCCTGGGCAACGTATACTCATACGGCAAAAAAGTCTATCAATGGGCAGTTGACTTCTGACTTAAAACTGCCATGATCCCACTGTATGCCACATTCGACTACTTCCACAGTACTCACCTCACCTTTTTTCTACCTTCGTCTTTGAAGCACTCTTCTGTCTCCCCCCCCCCTCTCGACTTTTTTCCACTTTGATGTTCCTTCCCCTCTGTGAAGCCTGAAGTCAACTAAAGGGTTAATGGTAACCATCAAGACGCCTGCCATTTGATATAAATAAATAAATAATATTTAAGTTATAAAAAGGAATAGACAATTCACATTTTTACAGAAACAAAATAGGGATGTTTATTTCAGTTATTTACTGCTAATTCCGAAAGTTGCGGCGCGCCAATAGATGACCGCAACCAGTAGACAATTAAGGAAAAGAGAGCTGAGTATTTCACTCTTAAGAAGCAGCATCTAGACAAGTACTCTTTGTTAATATGAAGTCTAATCAGATTTAAAAAAAACGCGCACCTTACAAAAAAAACAAGGCACTTCAACAAAACAAACCTACCAGTAACAGCCAGTAGAGCTCCAAAGTGATTAACCAGGAGTAAAACGAATTGCAAGCCAAGGTATCCAGACAGTGCGAAGAGAGTACTCCACACGAATGTGCTCCCAAAGTCCTGTGCATTTGCAGGGAGGGGGAGGGGTTAGAAGAAAACAAATTAGACGCTACATCATTCCATATTCCACTGGTTGATTGTACTACTTAATCTCACCTGAAATAAGACAGTGGAGGTAGGAAAAGCACCAGTAAAGAGTATAATGAGTACCATGAGACCGAAACCAAACGCATAGGAGTAGGTGAGCTGAAATGGGGAATAAAAATATTAACAGAAAAAAAGCACGTTTTGCGTTAGAATTGATACTTTTCTTTGAAAAGTACACTCGCACAATTGCCTCAATCATTCAAACCGCTGATAGGTAAGTACAATTGCCCAACACCCAGGAGTACTGCCCTTATCTGAGATGAGTTTTGGTGCAATATAATTACATATCAATTTAACCAATTGGTGAACACGGGTTCAAACACGTTAACATATGAATTACTTAACGCTTAGGAAGTTTACCCAACAGAACACATTGTATAGGATAAACTCTTCCAACATATCTAGGTTAGGCTGAGTTAAGTTAGTCAACTGCACAAACAACATATGCGGTAAAGTAATTGGAAGTTCGACAACCTCTACAACTAGGCAGAGATGTTTTAAACGCTTAAGATTATCGTGCAATCCGGTAACAAGTTGTTTGAATGCAAAGCACGGTCACTTACGATTTGAAGAGCGGGTATGTTGTGTCTCTTCATTGCCATCTCCTGAAGATTGCCAATGTATCCATCACAGATTAAAGCTATGCTAATTGCAACAAAACCTGTTTAAAAGAAAAAAAGGCGACAAAAAGGAAGTTGAAATAATTGGCAATTTTCAGTAGTCAAAAAGACGCCATCAGCACAGGAATCTAATTCTGAGCCAAACACTCGGAATGGCCTCTGTCGAATCAACATGTTGGCACATGTTGTCACAAGTAACTGGGCAAGTTAGAATAGACAGATCCCCTCTACAATGATGGACATTAATTATATTTTTACTCACTAAAAGTGCAGTTAAAAAGCCTGCGAATGACTTTCAGACAACTTCAAGCTTGCTTAGCCGTCTCCTCGCCTTCTGAGTCTGAGTGAAATGTAGCCAAGTCAATTCAAGTGAGTGGACACATCAGAGTAGCAGAGGTAGATCTCCTAGCAGCAATACATCATGAAAGCTGACGCACTTGCTAATAAGGGGACAATAATTTTGCAAGGAATAGACCAACCGATGTCCTCCCACACAATGAAGACCTTAATCAGGAGAGAATTCAAGACCTCAAGGTGCAACGAACTTAAGACTCGAACAAAGGAGAAACAGTGGACAGTCGCGCTCTCCGATATAGCCGACTGGCCAAGAATCGAAACCGTTGATGAGTTTAGACTGCGTACCGGACACGATTGCCTGCCAAAACACCTTCACATATTGGGAGTATACACTCAACCCACATGCCAGCTAAGTAACCTACAGGAGGAAATGGAGAAGATCCACCTGATTTGGTGTCCAGCCCTAAAGACAACGACGGAAACCCAGAGATAATGGGAAGCAAGA